GCAAAATTGGCTAGTCTGTTAAACGGACTAGTGGGGGAATTTGGAGTCTGCACTCCCATATTGATCATGGGAGATCAAATTCAGGTTCAAAGAGTCTCCATCAACCCTGCCTCTTGCTGACTGCTGAGGGACAGGGCAAGGGGCATGACTCTCAGCTTTGATTTTCAATTAGTGACAAGGAATTGAAATGGTGACAAAACATTTGTATTTGATACAGTGTTTATACTGGGTTGCTGTGAGTTTTCCAGGCTGTATGGCCATGTTCCAGAAGTGATCGTACTGTTTACTCCTGACATACAGCAAGGGAGTGAGGGTTAAATGTTATTAAATCTTAGTTATTTAAACCAGACTGATTTTTGTTACAGAAATACTGGACTCATTTGCAAATGTTAAATAACCCCCTCTTTCATTGTTATCCTGAATGCCAGGGCTGTTGGTGACTCAGATCTTTTCCAACCAGCTGAAATGAGGCATGCACATTATCCGAGGGACAGATGGTGATTGATTGTTCAATTGATGATGTCAGTATGGGTCCATTGAGTCTCTGTCTGTTTGGAGAAGATATGTGAATAATACAGACTTTTGTTCATTTGTTGGATGGGGGGGGGGGGACCAAATAGAGGACGTCCATTTATTTTTCTCTCACAAAAAGCAGCAAAATCACACAGCAATCTATGGATGTATTGTCGAAGGCTTTCATGGCTGGAATCACTGGGTTGTTGTAGGTTTCTTGGGCTGTATGGCCATGTTCTAGAAGCATTCTCTCCTGTCATTTCACCTGCATCTATGGCAAGTATCCTCAGAGGTTCTGAGGTCTGGGTGGGTTTGTGGGGCAAATGTGTTGGGAAGACCTGACATGTTTACCATGGGTTTCATAGCACAATGCTTGACTGTTGCTTCATCTCTTGTTTATCAAGGTCTCAAATGAGTCTTTGTCCTGTTTGGATCATGAAAAGGATATTGAGAATGCTATCTGTCTGTGGTAAAGGTGTGCAAATTTCATGACGAAATTTGAATGGCCCCTGTTTAGTTTTGAAAATATTTTGAAAAATGGAGCGGGGGGGGGGGGGGGGGTCGAATCCAAACTTCCAGAATGTATGTTTCATTTCATTACTTTTTCATTCCATTGGTGGCAATAGGGAACTCATTTCTCTGGGCCCTTCCACACAGCTGCCATTCAGCAGCCGGTAGCAGGGATTTTTGTGACTTGAAGTCCAAAGCCACTTGATGATGTCAATAGGGGAGGAAAAGCCACTTGATGATGTCATCAAGTGGCATCATGATGCCAAAGCCACTTGATGATGTCAATAGGGGAGGAAAATGAGAGAAAAACCAGCTCTGTGATTGGCTGAGGAAGAGCATGCAATACAGCCAGTGTGGCTGCACTCAGCCCCATTGCCCCCACTGAGAGATTGCTTGCTTGGGAAAAATTGGCACGTTATTATTCCTATATCAATAATCATATCTTTCTTCTTTTGATTGACTGACAAGGGAAAAAACAGTATGCAGCTGTCCTTGTCAATCACATCAGCCCCTCTCCTCAGCCCTCTTCCACCCTGGGGTGCAATGGAGTATGTTACACTGGAAAAAAAAGGTCAGAATAAGCAAATCTTTTTCTGAATTTCATCCAAAAGATTCATGACCTTATGTTTCAATTTGTTAATGCTTTGGAGGGGCCCTTTCTGTGTTTTATTTTGGCGGTTTTTCTTCCGAATTGCTGAAATTTTCCAAATCCAAAATGATGTCTGGAATTTTGCGCACCCCTAGTCTCTGGCATTGTGTGATGGTGAAATCTTTCTGGATTTTAATCTGTTAGAAAAACTGTCCAAGGTGCTGAACACTATATGCAAAATAACCTTAGAATCTTGGAAACTCCTTTACACTTTAGATGAGGATTTGGGGTGCATTCACTGCTCCAGTGAAGTGAATGCCACTTACTGCCATGGATCTTTAGTGATTTGTTCCTCTTTGATTTTAGGCTATGTGCACATGATATTTGGAAGAAAACCCTCAAATGACCTTCATTATGTTGGCATTGCTAATCCTGGTCCTGCAGTAGCAGCATGGCAGGTATATGGGCAAAAGGTCTTGCTGCTGGCTACCTTTGCAAGTAGGCATTTTACTATTTCTCATTTTAAAAATGAGAAGCATTCTTCTTTCTACTGGGCAAAATCCCTGTAATCTCCTTCTTCTTGTATTTTAGGTAAATTGCTTGACTCTGTTCCCAACATTTGGGATTACTTATCAGGATGTTCAAACTAGGTATATTTTTTCCAGACATCTGAAATCTTGCTCCCATATTTGGAGATCTGTTGAGTTCTATGATTTAGTGATTGTTACACTTGTTTATAATTCCATTCCCAACATGTAGGGATGATAACATGTTTTGGTGTGGCTCTGGTAGAGATTATTGACTTGAAGAGCTGGCAACATTCTTTTGTTGCTCAGGAGACTGCAACTGGAACTACAAATCTTTTTGGAGTGCAGCTTGTGCAAAATGTTTTGGGACCTGAGACAAAGAACAAGATGGCAGCCCTTCCCAATTCCACATAAAAGAGCCAGTTGAGCGGGCAGTTGAATCACCAGGAAGGAATGGAATAGGTCTGTTTCACTGCTCCTGAGTGGAAAACTAGTTTAGGAAACCCAGGATGTGACACAGTCAGCTGTATTTTCCAGCAAAGAAGTATGACCAAGGGACTTAGGAGGACCATGTATAATCTAGTATGGTTATTTCACATTACCTAATGGCAGGCCAGTCTTGATTTGGAATGATTGAGGATTTTTTAATACGCTGTTTTGGGCTGTTCTATGAAGTTGTTGATCAAAATGTTATTCCCTTTTGCAGTATCATCATAGAATCACCCAGAAGAGATACAAAAATTCTGGAGAGGACATTTTTTATCTAAACCATTGAAATTGTAGTATGATATTTACCATCTAAACTGCTAGAAAGGCTCCCGTAGGGAAACAATTTGACATGACACTGCATTCTGCATAGCCAATATAGTTGGTTTGGACATTGTCTGAACAATTTTAAGACAGGAATGTATCAGGCCTCTGCAACAATTACTTTGAATAAGCTTGCTAATGGAGAGAACTATTAAGGAAGTTTGTAATGCTATAGGAAGTTTTCTCGCCCCAATTCATTAGGCCAGGCCCAGGATGAGTCCTGCCAGCTTCCTAAGCAAAATACACACTGGATATAGGCAGTGTGCCTAGACAGAAGGCCAACTAAGAACTCCATGTATGTCACATTGTGTTTCATAATGGGGAAAAAGAGTTATAGAATCATAGAAGGCATAGTTTTTATAATTTTTATTGTTTATTGCTTTTATGGTTTTTAAATGTATTGTGATGTTTTTGCTTTTTATTGATGTATTTAGTTTTATATATGACATCTAATTGTTGCTGACTTGCACACCGCCCTGAGTCGCCTTCGGGCTGATATGTGTGGGATACAAATGTTGTAAATAAATAAATAAATAAATAACAGAGTTGGAAAAGACCATTCAGGAACACACAATCAATTCACTCCTGGCAGACAGCTATTTTTAAAATACCCAGATGGCCTTCTGTCTGGGCTCACTAACTAGCTCCAGAACATGTTTAGCAAAATGTTGTAGCCATGTTAGTCTGTAACAGCAAAGACAACAGAGAGCTTTGCTGCATCTTAAAGACAATCAAATGTATAATGGCTTAAATCTTTCCAAACTACAGACTTTATGGATCAGCTGCATAAAGTCTGTATACATGTATGTATGTGTGCTTATGCAGACCAACAGACAGACACATATAAATGGCCTTGAGTGGTGTGGGGAAGCAATCACTGTAGTCAAATTTATATTAAATGCAGACTTGTATGTTTGTGTGCAAAGTAATGATCACTGTTTGTACTTTGGTGCACATTTTTGGAGATAGAAATCCAGCAGATCACCACCTTACTTCACCTGCTGTGTAAAAGTGTGAAACTAGAATGTTTCAGTTAGGTGTTAGAGGTTATTTTTGAAAGCAGAGATGAAATGAAAGGATATTTACAGTGATTTTTTTCTGTTTGGAGCGACTTGCAATTTCTTAAGTCATTCCTGACATGAAAAAAATCTCTGCAAATATTCAGATGTGAGAGAATTGGCAGTCTGCAAGGATGTTGCCCAGAGGATGCCTGGATGTTTTACCATCCAGTGAGAGGCTTCCCTCATGTCCCTACATGAGAAGCTGGAGCTGACAGAAGGGAGCTCATCCCTCTCCCTGGATTCGAACCACCGACCTTTCAATCAGCCTTCCTGCCACCACAAGGGTGCAACCCATTGCACCACCGGATGGCAGAGTAAGAGAAAACATTTCTAGTCAAGTCCACCAAGCCAAAGTGAAGCTCTGAGAAAATTACATCACAGGTCTCCCAGAAGGAGACCAGTAAGGAGTTAGATGCATCTGTGATCCAGGAAGGGACATTTTCCTGATGTGAGGCTGAATTTCCTTCAGTTTACTTTTAAAATCACAATTGACATGGTGCTTTCTTAGTTAGATGGGGTGTGTGTGTGTGTGCAACCTGCATCCTGTTTTTCTTTACCACCCACAATACCAGATTCTCCCCTTCTCCACCTAATTTCATACATATCACTTCAAATTCATCTCCTTTAACCACTGTGTCATTCACTTCTTGCAGCTGTGATTCTCATTCCCTCCTAACAGGGAGTGTGAAGCCATTAATGCAAGTTACTTGATCTGAGTCTTTGATCGACAGAGCCCTCAGGGCTTGAATCTAATTTTGCGGCAAAGCTGGTGTTCTCAAAATCATTCATTACATCCAGGACAATTCTGATTTGTTGATGCTCTTTGGATTAATTCATGACCCACTTGTTTCCTAGTCATGATCTCTGGGTGGTGGAGCCTCAACTACCTCAACTATCTCCAAAAATAGAACAGCAGATCATCCATCCTAGGAATCCCACAAAAGATAGTCCATAAAGCTGGAAACAAGAAATGAAAAGGTGGCCATGATACTAATGCAGAGGTCTTTGTGTTTATTCATCTACACACAACATTTCAAATGAAGACATTAACATGCAGGGATTCTTCAGAGCTTCAATGCAATTTGAGAGCTACAAAGACTATCTCAGTTTTGGCTCTTCCCTGAAAAGGCTCGGTATCACAAACCTTACAGCCACCCAGCTGATCAGGACACATTTGTTTGCCTCTGTCTGTTCCAGCCATTAAAAACAAACTGCTGGCAGAAACACAGAAGATTATTCTGTAGGGGGCCCTGTTTCCTGAGGCATCCCATTTGTCTAACATTTCACTTTAGACCTGAAGATACTCAACTCCTTGGTTGCGGAGGGGAAGTATCTAAGTTTGCTAGGCAAAGACGGGTAAGAAACAGATTTCTTCCCTTTTCTCAAAACAAAAAATAACCAAAAAGAAGGATATGGAGATGCTATAGAAAAATGTCCACAGGAATTTCAAAAGAGAGATAGGATATGCCATGAGAAATACTTTAAGGTTAAATAATGCATCATTTATGGGAGGTCTTAATATATGCTCTTTTCTTTGTATGTAGGAAGCCAGGCCCTACCATTGGGCAGAATAAGGTTGCCACCTCAAGTGGCAGAATCTGAATATTGTAAAAAGGCAGTAAAGTATTAGTTATTTCTATGTAATTGCTGTATGTTTTGTTTCTGGGAAAATAGAAAAAAAATACTTGTGACATTTTTGGTCTCATTTGCTGCAATAAATGGATTTACACGGCAGTGTGTTTGTGCACACATTTGCCCCTGCTCCATTTCAGGCAGCAAAGTTTCTTGGGTCAGCCCTGCTTCTATAAGATTTTCACTGCACATGGAGATCATACAGGTGTCTATTTTGCTACAGTAGCATAATGCTCACATAGACATAGCAAAGCAAAGCACAACAATGTGCATTCGCACATGACAATGTGCATGTAGATTCCTTTTGTCCATTTCCATCTGGGTAGGAAAACCTTCAGATGTGAAACAGCCCTTGATTTGCCACCTATCTTTGTAGTAAACAGAACAAGAATGGAAGTTTAATCTTTGAACAGGCTCACTGCTGGGTGGGAATCTAAGAAGACTGTAAATTGCTGACATTTTGTACATGGAAGCAAGCTTTGCGGAGATGATACAGTACAATGAGAGAGCCCCACAGTTGCTAGGTAACTTTCCAGGAGTATGTCGGCTTGTATGTCACCTGCTAATGAAGGGAGGGATTAGGAGGTGCAACACTCTCCATTAATGGGCAGTAGGAATGAAGGTAGTTCTGCTGATTCTCCCTGCTATCAGATTGTCTGGAAACAAGAGAAAGACTTAATCCACCAGCAATGTGGAGAGAATGGGAAGGAGGGAGGGAAAGATCTTCCACTGTAATATTTTACTCCCACTCCCCTAAATCTTCTCTGATTTACCATCCAACAGTATTCTGGATTGGGATCCCCATTAAATTGCCCTTTGTATTAAGGGCTGGGAAAGGCAGCAGTCTTGAAAATTTGTCTGTAGTCTAGTGGTCTCTCTCATTTTTTCTTACCCAATGCCAAATGGATTGTGAAAGCAGGGAGTAGCCATTCATCTCTTGGGGCACCAGATGATTTCCACATGGGCTTCTAATTTCCATGTTGTCTGCAAAATGAATCCCTTGTCTCTGTTCTGTGAATCTGTTATGATTTGAATGGATCCAGTTGACCAGAAGGTGGGTAGGGCTGACCCATGAATGTGCCTTGTTTTGAGATGTAGACAACAGCCCCAACCTACATGACCGAGCAGGTAAAGCCGCAGCACTCCTTCAAGAGGGTGAGGCCTGTCTTTGTTACATATGGTGTGGAGGTTTGCTGTCCTTTTGACATCATCTTCTTTTCTTTTGTAGAAGCTGTGAAGAAACAATCCGTTATCACTATGGGAACAGCGACTGCTATAGGACCTCGGGGTGAGTCACAAATGTGCTGCAGATAAGGGCATTAAGTACCATTTCAGTTCAATGTGCATTGTAAAACAGAGCCATCAAGCTGGATTATTAACAATACATATGTTTTGAGGGCCATTTCACAGATGATGGGTGTCTAAATAAAGCAGTGGAAAGATGCAGGATTTGAGTTTGTTGCGTGAATAAGCAGCCCTATTCTTTTCAAGGGTCTACTTTAGCTAGAAACATTACTGGATTTAAGGTTGCGTGAAAGCAATAAATCACAATTTGTCACCAAAAATCCCAGCACAGTTTTGCAAAAATAACACAGCCCAACAACAAAACCCTTGGTTTCTTGGTTTTTAGGCCTGTTCCTGGTTGCATTGGATAGACTGCATCAGCTCTAGTTTCCTAGATTTGGTTGAATTTATAATGGAAAGTTTCTATCATAAATCTGTGCTTTTGGTAATAAATAAGTAGATTTTCATGTAGTATACTTTTAATATTTAATATGTTTCCTTCATGCTTAAAATATATTAATTTAAACACTTTGTTAAAATATCCTGATTTTTTTATGGGTCAAGAGTGGTACATGGCATGTGTTCTGTATCTCAAAAACCAGAACTAACAGGAGAAAACTGGTGTCATTTTCGGAACAGCAGGTCAAATATATCCAGAAACAGGACTTATATTTGAGGTAACAAAATGTGTGCTGGCCAGTATAATCTGTCAACCCCTTCTGTTTGATTTGTTCTCATACAAAAAATTGAAAGCTTACAGTTGACCCTTTTGGTATTTCACAGTAGCTCTTGGATATACTATTTTAAAAAACCATTAGGTGAAGTAGCTAGAGGAATCTGCAGAAAGGATCATAAATGCTATGATGAGGACAAAAGTGTGTGTGTGTGTGTGTGTGTGTGTGCGTGCGTGCTGGCTGGCTTCCTCTTTCCTTTCAGATTTTTTCATTTTTTGGTAAGAACAAAGATGAATATGTCTTGGACTATGGAGTTCATTCTCTATGTTCACAGATTATTAAATCGATGGACTTTATCACGTTATGCCACAATCCTGAAATATTGGGACTTTCATTATCACACTGCTGCTAGCATTGCACAACTGCAACACTTTAGCTATGTGAAGTCTCATGGCTGCACTTCTGCCCTCCACTGTGCTGCTTTTTCTGTTTTTCTATCTTTTAAAAACATTTTACAATTCTACAAAGTGCAAGCATATAGATAGATAGATAGATAGATAGATAGATAGATAGATAGATAGATAGGTAGGTAAGTAGGTAGGTAGGTAGGTAGGTAGATAGATAAGATAAGATAAGATAAGATAAGATAAGATAAGATAAGATAAGATAAGATAAGATAAGATAAGATCTCTCCACCCCTAACCAGTATATCAGCATAAAAGCATTTGGATCATTGCACTTGATAAGTTGAGGTAATATGATCCCATTAACAGCAAGGATGGCTTTGTTGTGGGGTGGTAGTGAACCAGCAAGAGATATCACATGCCATTGTGCAATAGGGACCACTACCTTTTGTGCTGATATGTCAATTTACAATTTCCATGAAGGAAAGTCAAAAACAGAGTGTATAACATGCACACACTTAGCCAGTCCAAAAGCGCTTATAAGACAGTGGAAAATGTATTTCCATGTACCTACTTGTTTTTGGAAGGCAGGTTTTAGAAAGCTTGCTCTTCAAAAATTCAGCCATTTCCTTGTCTTCTTCTCGTTCTCTGTAAAAAGAAGAAACCGATTGTGGTACCATTTATGAAATCAACATCATAGCACGAACATGATTACAAACCATAGAAATGGGGAGAAGTTTGATTTGAGGTATATGGAGTCAAGCTCAGGAAAAAGTTACTTTGTTGCTCTACAGCACTGGTTCTCAACCTGTGGGTCCCCAGGTGTTTTGGCCTATAACTCCTAGAAATCCCAGTCAGTTTACCAGCTGTTAGGATTTCTGGAAGTTGAAGGCCAAAACATCAGGTTGAGAGCTACAGCTTCCAGAATCCTCTGACCAGCACGGCCATTGGGCCATGTACTAAGGGTGATTATTGGGTGTGGAGTTTAAAAACAACTTTTCTGCACCATTCATCTAAATTATGGCTTTCCAGATCTTTCTAAACAGACAACCAATTCTGTTCTTTGATTCTTGGACTCTCACATTGAGTTGAACAATTAATGCACAATTCCTTTTGCTCAGTTACATCTCAAACTTATTCTTCTTCACTCTTCTTTATAATATTTCAAAACATCTGCATATTGGGCTTCTACCTGACCATTCTGCTCTATCTATTTTCACCCATTTCCTCTTGCCAGCTTTCCTGGACAAAGCCTCAATTATCTTTTTCACTATACAAAATGATGATTAGTCTTAAAGTATTAAAATTCTCCTGTGAATATTTAGTACAAATAAAACAAAGTTTGAGTTGGGACCCATAGCAGTATAAAAAAGATCATATGTTCTAGCATTAACCCACTCTAGCTGCATGAATCAAATGCTGGAAACCTAAGGCAAGCTGGATTCATCTCTCTGCTCAGTAGTGAAGTGCTCTTGGAAAGCTCAGTGCCAGTTCCCTTGACCCATTTCTTAGAGAATAATTTCAAACAGCAGCAACAATGGGCTCAATTGCAACATTGGCTCTAAGATAGGAAGCTGCCCCCAGCTCCTGTTTTTCATGTTTACCTGAGCCTTTCAAACTCCACATCATCCACAAGGAAATCACGGGTCTCCACAAGTTTGTGAATTTGTTGCACTAATTCCTCCTCTTGTTTCTTCTCTTCTTTTGATTTTTTATTCTCTTAAATGTTGGGGGAAGGAAAAAAAATAAACAGCAGTACATTCATTGTGTGATGAATACATTGGTGCTACCATTGTCTAAGTGGAGGCAGGTGATTTTCAGAGACATACTCTTCTCAGTCCCAATAGTAGTACGCTATCTTGAGAAAGGTCTTACCTTACTGTTTCTGTTGTTGATTAATTTTAATGTAGTTTTAACCTTAATGTTTTGTAGTGTTTTATGACATAGGGCCAAGTTCCTGCATCATGATCATAACTATGGTGACAGGGCTCCACTGATACGCCTCGAACATACATTTGCAGCATTGCAATGCCCAGCTAACATTTTTCCTAGGTGTTGCAGATGGGGGTGCTAGGAAATTATGCCCACCACATGCTCTTTGTTGCAAGGTTCCTTCATTACAGAACAAGAAAAGTCATTGGGGTTCTATCATAACTGCTTATTCCAGGAACATGTAATGTATATAATTTCCTCATTTCTCAATCTCCAATACCTCAGAAAGTACAAGACTGTGAAGTCGGTGTGTGTGTGTGCATCATCCAGTTGTTCATGACCATGCACATGGATCTCCAGCAGACTCAATAGGCTAAATCCAGCTTTCTGTAGTATAAATGCTAAACAGGATGACAGCCGTGCCAATTTCTGGCATTTAACTTATCACAGTTTTTGTATTTAAATTTTAATTGTTTTCTTTCTTTTCATAAACAAGTTTGTTTACTGAAGTGTGGCATAATAAATAAATAAATAAATAAACAAAATGTTTGGCAGCACTAGACAACAGTTAATTATCTCTTTCCTAAGAACAACTGTTCTCAGTAATAGTTGCATGGTCTCATCTACAGTAGGAGCAGAGGATAGAGCAGAGGGACTGGAGCTCCAAGCAAAAGGACTGCAGGCTCTGGTTCAGCACTGGTGGAAAAAAAAAAACCCTGAAGGGTAAAGGCAGAGGTGGATTAATGTGTTTCAAAAATAACATTTTTAAGTGATTATCAAGCTCAGGTTGCTTTCTGGTTTCTACACCAGCTTTTTAATTGCTATCATTATTATTATTTTAAACTGCATGGGAATTTGTGTACCTTTCTATGCACAAAAAACTAAGCAGCTGTCATAACAAATGCCTTTCCTGCAAGCCATTTCTCCCAATGGGTTAGCCCACAATTTTTGATTGCAAAATGTTAAAAGAAGTGTGACAACTGAAGGGAAATCATACTCTGCTTGTGGAAAGGTGACTGAAAGGTATAGACCCAACTTAATCACATTCCTCCTGACATCTCCCTTCAAGGCAGCAGACTGGCTGGAGGCACCATAATGTCACGATGAAGATTAATATGTGTAGTCACAAACAGCTACAGAAGCTTACCCTCTCAAATTCAGGAGTTAAATCACACCTTTGTCTTTGCAGCAGACTTTATACAAATATGTGTGTGTGTGTGTGTGTAGTCAATTTACAGTGGATGAGGACTGGAATACTTCTCCAGCCTTCTTTTCCTGATACTTTCAGATAACTGGAAACTTCTTACTTGCAGCAGGCTGGTTTTGTTGTCCAATTCTTCTTGATACTCCAACCTTCAGTCTCCTCAAGACACAAGCCTCTCAAAACTCCAACCTTCCAATACCTCAGCAAGGAGTAGCCCTTTTGCTCCTTTATTACTCCAGCAGTTACTTCACCCTGGCTGTAATTACACAATGCTAGCTGGGTGGTTTTACTTTTATTGCTTGCTGCCCTAATCCTTACGCAACTTGCTACTTAAGAAATGATAAAAATTCTAACACATCATAGGGCTAGGGTGGGTAGTTTGGAGTGACACCATAATCATCATCATGATCATCAATATTTATATCCCACCACAATCTCCCCAAATGGACTTGGGGTAACTTACAAGACACTCCAGGTTGCACATATAACACACAACAGGTAAAAATGGTACAAAAGTATAAAACAAGTCACATAAAATTATAACGACAACCTCCATCAACACATGTAGCATAAAATCAAAAGAATACAATTTTAAAACAATAGCAGAGAAAACTAAATGCCATGATGAAAAGGAAACTGCTCGGGAGCTCTATTAAAATATATGGATGTGGTTGGGAACATGGTGATTCCAAATGCTGATCCTAGTGACATCTTTTAAGCCAGGTGTATATACACTGTTAATCCAAGTTCCAACAAAATGGTGTTTTGCACTAAGCCCACCTATTGAGAACTGGTGAGAACATTCTGTTATAGTCTCTTTCAATAATGGCCAGGTGGATCATCCAACCTGCCTCCATGATCATGTCACTGGATATTTCTACTTTTCATTTCTCTCCTCCTGATAACACGATTTTCCTGAGATTGACTGTGGAGTCTATTCTCAAAATAGATATTTTTGCAATCATTATTTTAATATTTTGTACATTTATTCACCAGTCTATCTTTACCTCCGTTTCCAAGTTTTCTTGAGGCTTTGTTTAACATAAAAATATACAGGTTCTCAAAGTCTTGGTAAATCCTTGGGTAATTTTGCAGGGTATATATTGTTTATACAGTCTCTCCTTTGTAGATAGAGGGAAGAAATAGAGGCAGTGAAATGATCCCAAGGATGACAAATCTCATAGGTTGGTCTGGTTTTGTGTAAGTTCTGGGGAAAAGACAAGTCTCTGGGAGAGCTGTTAGGGTATTCACCTTACCTGGCAATGCAATCAGCTTCTGCAACTCCTTTTTCAACCTGCTGATTTCCTTACATAGTTGGATGTCATCCATCCTGAAAAGCCAAGGGGAAAAAAATAAAGTTCAAAAGATCACATGAATGGGATCAGTTGTAGCATGGGCAAACTAGGCCCTTGCTACAGATGTTGGGATGAAGATGGAAGTCTTTGACTACCATAAAGGAAGAAAGGGAACAGTAATTTTGTAGCATTCCTCACCCCCCAAAGGGACAAATTCGGGGATAAGGAGGACTTAGGCTTGTTTATATCCCTAACAGGATGCTACACACAAAAGTAAGTATTTTACTGTATTTAATAAACATTCTTCATGTTATTTCAAATGTTTCTCTGGTTTTATATCAATTTTGAATTGGAGTCAGGCCTCACATACCAAAACTAAGAACCCACACAGTAACACAGCCCCATGTCGACATTGAAGGGGTCAGCCTGAGGTCCTACAACCCAATCAAGCAAGGGAATAATTGAGGAAATGAGGATAAGGTGAGTGGCAGGATTTCTAGGGGCAGCCTGGGTAAAGGGATTTGTCACTCGTCTCATATCTGAAATTCTTGTGGTGACTAGTGCAGTGATTTTTCAAACCCTGGCCCTCCAGGGACTTCAACGTCAATAGCCTCAGCCACTTTGGTTAGTGGTCAGAGATTCTGGAGGCTGAAACCCCAAACACCTGGAGATTTACTTACTTTATTTTGACATTGCACAAGGAGTTATCTAGTATTTCCCTTTTCAATAGTTTCCCCCAGTCTACACAACAGCTACTGGACTTAGTGCAATGGTGGCTAAGGCTTCCATTATTAGAGTGATGGTCAATCTATTTTACTGCTTTTTATGCAACTGTTTTATTGTTGAATGTTTTGCATCATTTATTTCAATTTGTTTAATTTATTGTTGTGTTTTTATGGCATTGAATGTTTGCCCTTTATGTTGTGAGCCAGCCTGAGTCCCCTTGGGGAGATAGGGTGGGACAGAAATAAAGTTTTACTTACTTTTATTTACTTACTCTTCCACATTTTATTTCGGGGCTAACCACATGCTGAACCTGATGCCCAAAATGGGCTCACCAGCTTGGATATTTTGTTTAGAAAACCCAGATATGATTCACTGCCACATTTTCATGGGTGCCACAAGTTGCCACCCTGTCAAGGCACAGTCCAGGAATATTGCTAAATAACCATTGAGTGCCTAGATATGTGTTAGGAAACCTCTCCTTCCCCACCATCTAGTTAGCCGCTATTGCCCTCTTAGATCAACAGTGTAAATACTCTGATGGAACTTTGATTTCTCTCACCATCCAATAGGAGCTTAACCAACATTTCCATAGAATACAATAAAGGATAGGTTCAGTGGAAGAGAAAGAATCATGTAGGAGGTGTGGATTTTACACACAGTGTAGTATACTACCATTAAAAGTCAGTATATGTGGAAGATTGACTATATATTAAGAAAATATTATTGATAAGTGACACCAAACACAGAAATATTGCTTTAAGCAGAAGCTATTTCAAATTCAGGGGAAGTTTCTGTGTGCGAGAGAGAAAGAGAAATTGTTTTGGAGGATGTGGGTGGGTAATTTAAAGTAAAACCTGTTTAGCCATTAAGCTCAGTAGGTGCCTTTTAAGTACATCTGTCTCCCAGCCTAACCTGCACTAATGCACATGAGAATAAAAGTCTCGCTGCTGGAAAAATGCTCCAGAAACTGCAAACTCTGCACCCCTCTGTTCCAGCAAGGAGCAGTCAATGAAACTCAGTCAACATGTCTCCTCTAACAGTTCAGTCACTAGATGCAGTTATTTTTTTAAAAAATGGCAGCCTTTTCTAAATAAGTAGTGCCATAATTTATTAATCAGTCAATAATATTTATTTATTTACAACATTATATGCCTTATAATTTGAGCGACTTACAAGTTATAATATAATACAATACAATATTAATACACCCAACCTCGCTGGTCCTATGGTTACTTGAAAACCAAGTTGGGGTTTTGTTTTTTGTTTCTTTGCAACACATTCGTTTCTGAGTAATAATGCTTATTTATAATGCCATTTCCTCCAAACCAGGAATATATCCCATAGATATGCAGATCATACTACACGTAAAGTCCCCCAATATCCAACTAATCATTTCAGTCACCTCAAGCAGAACACAGCAGCTTAATCTGGTGAGTCATGAAGATTGTCATGAAAACGATGAACCCCTTATGAAAATCTTATTCCAGCCAGAAGTCCAAATGAAGACAATTCCACTGATGCAGAGCTAGATCTCAAAAGACTCACAACCTTGGCAGAGCTGTAAAAATTGGTGGAACACACAATATGTGTTTTCAAATAAATTCCAGCCTAGGCTGAGACTGTAAATTACTCGAGGTCACCCAGTGGGGTTTCCATGGTTGAGTAGTGTCTCCCAAAATCCCAGTCCCACACCCATACCACTTTATCATCCCAGCTCTATTTTTGTAGGCTCAAACTTAACAGGTTGTCAACATTAGAAATTGACTAGTTTTGTCGAAGGCTTTCATGGCCAGAATCACTGGGTTGTAGGTTTTTCAGGCTGTATGGCCATGTTTTAGAAGTATTCTCTCCTTGACGTTTCACGTGCTGAGGTTGTGGGGATGCCTGCCATAGATGCAGGCAAAATGTCAGGAGAGAATGACCATGTTCTAGAACATGGTCATACAGCCCAAAAAACCTACAACAACCCATTGATTAGTTTGCCTTTCAAATTTGGCTGAATTTGGCTGGACAGACTTTTAGAGTTCTTGGAAGCATGCATCAATGGCATGTTTCTCATGAGGAAGCAAATAATCCAGGACTACTCTTTTTGCTCATAACTGTAATATCAGAATTCAGTTATTATATAGTGTTGAGGATTCAGCAGCACAGGGCAAAGGACTAAGCAGAATTGAGAAAATTCACCTCAGTGAGGCTAAAACGAGATGAGGCTGTACTCCCAGACCAATCAATTAAAGTTCAAAAGTGAGTCTAAACAACCACTTTTTTCCCGCTGAGGAAGCCGGTCTTGGTTCCCATGGAAAGAGTTTCTACAGCCTGGGAGAATCCTCCAAAAGAAGGTCTTCTCTCCCATACTCACCAAACAAGCTTATGAAGGTGGTTGAACAGAGAAAAGGTCTTCCTCCAGAGATCTTAAAATGAGCGCCTGTGCAGAGGTACAATCCTTTACTGTTTTACTGTACAAGTAAAGTGGAAAAGTACTGGGAAAGCTTCCATTTTAAAAGGACCCAATGCCAGCAAAGTTGAGAAATTCACCTTTACTGTGTGCTCTACTTCTTGCATGCATTGATTTTATTTCCTCCTCTTTTACAGTGAAAGGTCAATGTTTCACAATATGTTTCCCATTTTAAGCACTGGAACACTCCTTTTGTCATTTATTTATGAAAAGCAATAAGGCACAATATGAAAAGCAGTAAGTTGTAATCCCCTGCTCCACTCCACAAGAACAACATTATTTTGCTCCTGATGTTGGAGCACCTGCCTTCACAAGGTATTCAGACAAAAACCTTGCCTCACCATAAAATTCCCTGAGCAATTTGAGGAGCGATCCATGGTTCCGTCCTCTCACTGCCCCAAGATGCCAACTGAACAATTAAGCAAGTCAAGCATTTTATTTCATGAGGGGAAAAAGCTATATAGCTATTTTTACACTCCACTGAGTTTTTGTATTACTCATTCTAATTTTAAAACAAATGTGTGCATCTCTGATGTGTAATTTGAAAGTAAAGCTTCAATTCCCTCCAAGAGACACCATTAAGAACAATTGACTCCTGTATAAACAGCACACGCAAGTCATGTATTCCAGAATATTGATGGTGGTGTTTAGTGTTGTCTAAATACAAACCTTAGCAAGGAGGTGAATTGGATTATTCCATATAATGTTTAACTGGGCAGAGAGCTATTTTCTAAGCCTTCACTACAGGAGTCATGTGGCTCAGCAATGTCGCTCCTGAATTGGGTTTACTATCTCAGCTTAGTGTAAGCTAATGATGCCTCTTTATATTCCTCTTTACCAGATTTAGTGATTGTGTTTCTGTTTAACAAGAAACAGAGCCAATGGGGCCAAAGTTCTTAGAATAGCAGGATGCAGAAAATATGAGTGTATACAGCAGAACTGCAATCTTTAAAGAGTCAGGCTTAAAGTACCTTCATTAAAATCATCCTTTTCCGTATGAGATTTGAGTTTCCCTCAAAGAGTTTCTAATTATAATTCTGATAATGGCTACCTTCTTTCTTTTGCTTCTGAATGTGCCAACACATGAAACAAATAGGGACATGCACTCTCAACTGGAGTCAGGTGTTTGTGATGTAGTGTTATGGATCCATAATTGCTTTATATTCAGTTATACTGTGTGTTCTTCTTTTGGGTACTACTGCCATAATCATTAATGACCCCAACAGTCTACCGTAACAGTCAGCTGTTACACTGAGTGATGGAAGTCTATTCAGGTGTAGATCAGGGCATAGCAGGGTGATATTTTCAGCCTCCTCTTTCATGCACATTTAGCTCTTCACATGCGATTTTGTGTTCTCTCACCTGCCTAGTAGGTGTGAATACATAACAAGGGTCCCTTATGCTGTCACTTACTGGTGGGGAAGGGCAGGGAATGATTCAGACTATAGCAGTGGTTCCCAACCTGTGGTCCATGGACCACCAGTGGTCCACAAGTACTAAAATATGGTCTGTGCCCTCACTGTTGCTACACCCTCTTATAGTGCCAAGGCTTCTTAAATATGGTTTTCTGTGGGTGAGCAGATATCGACTACTGGATGGCATATGTTCTGTATCAGAAACTAGAGCCGATGTGGTCTATCCAATGCAATAATCTGAATCAGCACCCCAAACTGAATCTAAAGTTGACCAAAACCCGATTTGTAACCCTTTTGATACTAATGTTGGAGATTGGTCCCTGGTCAAAGTGATCCTTGGTCAAAGTGGTCCCTGGTCAAGTGGTCCCTAGTCAAAAAAAGGTTGGGAACCACTGGACTATAGAGAAGCATCTGATCCCTGCTTGGCCAAGGAAGCCAA